CACCCCGTGTAGATGAGGCCTCAGCGCCAGGGTTAGTGGTGGCCTTGGCGGTGCTGGGGGGCAGTTGGACTTGATCATCTTAAAGGTCTTTTTCAACCTGGCTGGTTCTGTGAACACATAGGTCAGGACATGGGCTGAAGAGTTTCACATGGATAGGTGACCCCCAAGTGGCATGATTGATGGACAGGAACAGCCCTGTTTGCTGCTTCAAAAGGTTTAGCTGCAACCCTGGGGTGGGCAAAAGAGTGTCCCAGCAGTGGGGTGGGCAAAAGAGTGTCCCAGCAGTAGGCTGGGAAACTGGGAAGAAAACCAACTGTTTCAGCAGCCAGAGAGGCACTGAGGGTAGAATTACATTGAATTGTTTTAGGTGGATGTTTATATGAAAGATGAACCCCCTGAGCAGACCCTAGAGATGGTGGCTGGGTAGAAACTACATTGGAAGGTGATGTGGGAAGAAGAGGGTAAACGAGACTCCTGATGGCTTTAGGGATATTTTTACTGCCAAGTGAGAAACCTTAGAGAAGACAGGGAACCTCAGGCTGCTTTAGAGTAGCAGAATGAGAGGGGATCCATTTGCTGCATGGCAAACAGCCAGGGTGAGGAAGGAACCAGTTAAGGGAAAATAACCCCCAACATCCCCCCCAAAGAATCCAGTTTTTTAGGAGAAGAAAGAGCGATAAAATGGCTAATGGTATTTTTAAAATGGACGTTCCTGATCATGTGAATAAGCAGGGTCTGAAACAGTAGGTTCTTAGAGGAATAGGTGGGGGGTTTCTTATTTAAACCTTAAGAAATACGAGTATCTAATGTTCCTCCAATGCTTCTCTGAAATAGGAACACATGAAGGTGAGGCTTTCTTCCAGCCAGCTCTCCAAGAGGAAACGGCTCTGAACTAGAGACCATCCCTTTGGCCACCCTACAATCAGCTGTCATTCTCTTTGTGTCTCTGGTTTGCACAAGACTTTTCTGCCCTGTGACAAAACCAGTCTGCTATTCTCAGTGTTGTCAACTGCCCTTCCACTTTTCAACCCCTGCATTTCACCAGGTTTTCAATGTATAAGCTAGCAGAATGTGTTATTTCATTGTTACACTCTGATGACATGTGAAGCTCAAGTAGTTGTTCGATGTTTATTTCTAGCTCTTCCTCTAAAATACTTTTTTGAGGTGGGATTGGATCTGGACAGGGCATTTCCACCTACCAAAGGGTGAGGATGATGATGGCTTTTCTGTTTGATTGTCCTCCACATCCAGGGTGTCACCGAAGGCTACAACGGCACCATATTTGCCTATGGCCAGACTGGCAGTGGAAAGTCATTCACCATGCAGGGAGTTGTGGATCCTTCTGCACAGAAAGGCATAATTCCCAGAGCATTTGAACACATTTTTGAGAGCGTGCAGGTAGGTAACAAGATGAAAGAGATCCTGTTGTAAGATGGTGTGATGTCTTGTGTCATACCCTGAGGGGCAAGTGCTGATTGCACTCTGGAGCAAGAATGGGGCCAAGCTTTGGGGTACGCTGCCTTTCCTAAAGCTGAGGCTCCTATAGAGTCAGATGAGCTGCACCCGCATCTCTGGGACTTCATGGGCTCACACTTGAAGTGTTTAAGGACCAAAAGTCCCTATAGAGAGTGTGTGGAGTGGTTACACCTGGGAATGAAATGCCAGGAGAGATCTGATGAAGCGCTGAAGGCACCCAGCTGGCACCGAGGGCTACGTGGGCTGCCTGCTTGCCTCCATTTGAAGAAGCTCACCTGAAAACTCTTCCTCTTTGGTGCAGTGTGCTGAAAATGCCAAGTTCTTGGTAAGAGCTTCCTACCTGGAGATTTACAATGAAGACATACGAGACCTTCTAGGAGCTGATACCAAGCAGAAGCTGGAGGTGAGGTGGAGTCAATGTGTCTTAGTTAGGAAATGCTTTAATTTCCTCAGATAAATGTTATCATAAATGTCTTATAGAAGTGCAATAATACGCTCTGTCAGAAGCTGAATGACAGACTATGAAATCATAGTGGTAAATATGGAAGCTAAGAGAAGATTTTGAGGGACTTTAATGAAGGTTTAGTGGCAGGAGGAACAGGATCCAGTCAGACGTGTCCCGTGTGTACCACTGGATAGCGGCCAGTAGCTTAGTGTGAAAGTCATTACTGGACTAGGATGGAGTAAAGTGCTGATGGAGCAATTTCTTCCTAATCCTCTTCCTCTCACAGCTGTCTCTAAAGCAGGAGCATTCTGTGCCATACAAATCTGACGCAGTGTAGCTGTGGATGATCTCATTATCTGTCTAAAACAAAAAAGGCTGATCCTTCTTTGAGAGGATGCAGCAGACATTGTTCCCCATGGGCACGTATGGGGAAGGCAGGCTGTTTCCAGGAACACAGGAGGGAAACCAGTCCTGAAATCCTAAGCAGGGGGCTGATTTTTCCTTCTTGATGGCTGTGCAGATCTCTCTGCATGTATTCCTGGAGGGAGCTGCAAATCTCCTGTCCAGTTTCATTCCCTGCAGGTCTGCCCCGGTGAAGAAAGCCGAGGCACTAGCACCATCTGCTGCACGGGAGCTGGTGACAGACTCACCTTCCGGGGCAGATTTATTGTTTTACTTATGGCTTTAAAGAAGGCAAACCCCTCTCTACTCCATGATCCAAGTGTGCTCGGCCTGTGTATGTGGAAAGGAGGGTGGGAGAAGGGACTGGCTGGTTCAGAAGGCACTTGCTGCAGATTCCCAGCTTTTGTTCCACATCAGCAGTGACACCAGTTTCCATGACGACTGCAGTTGGCACTGGGAGGGCAGGAGTTGGGCAGAACAGTTGCCAGGGTAACACCATCCCACTGGTGACAGCCTCTGCCTGTTGCTGCCTCCACCCAGTAATTAGGGGACTTGTGTCCCATGGAGAAAGAAAAGCCAGACTGACCCCACTGCTTTCTCTGTGTCATTGAATCATAGAATTAATCACAGAATCCCAGCCTGGTTTGTGTTGGAAGGGACCTTAAAGCCCATCCAGTCCCAGCCCCCTGCCACGGGCAAGGACGCCTTACACTAGAGCTGGTTGCTCCAAGCCTCTGTGTCCAACCT